ACTGGACACAGTACTCCAACTGCGGCCTGACCAGTGCCTCATAAAGCGGAAGTATCACCTCCTTGGACCTGTTTGTCATGCATTTGCTAATGCATGATACAGTGCGGTTAGCTTTACTGATCACTTTGTCACATTGACGAGTCATGTTCATCTTGAAGTCAACCATGACTCCAAGATCCCTTTCTGTTGCTGTGCTGCTGAGAAGGTTGTCCCCCAGCCTGTAAGTGTGTTGATGATTCCTTTTCTGTAGGTGCAGCACCTTGCACTTGTTCTTATTGAACGGCATCCCATTTTGTTCCATCCACTTTTCCAACCTGTCCAGATCTGCCTGGATTCATTCCCTACCCTCTGGTGTATTAACTTTACCCCATAATTTGGTATTATCTGCAAATTTGGATGGAGTGCTTCCTACACCCTCATCCCACTCACTGATGAAGACATTGAACAACATCGGTCCAAAGACTAAGCCATGTGGGACTCCACTGCCCACATCTTTCCAGGCTGATACTGACCCATCCACCAACACTCTCTGGGTGCAACCCCTAAGCCGATTTACTACCCACCTGACTGTGTAATCATCTACGTCACAGTTACTCAGTTTATAAGAATATAATGAGATACCATATCAAAGGCCTTCTTAAAATCCAAGTAGATGACATCCACCTCGATTCCTGCATCTAAACACTTTATGACCTGGTCATAAAAAGAAACAAGGTTATTCAGGCAGGATCTACCTGCTCTGAATCCACGCTGGTTGCCCTTTAGCATTTCTTTCCCTGCTGGACTCCCACAAATGTGATCCTTAATAATTTTTTCAAAGGTTTCCCCAAGGATAGAGGTGAGACTAACTGATCTATAGTTACCCGGATCCTCCTTCCTCCCCTTCTTGAAAACAGGGACCACATTGGCCATTTTCCAGTCCTCTGGGACCTGACCTGAGCACCAAGAGCCATGCCAATGGCTCTGCTATGACACTGGGCAATTCCTTCAGCACCCTTGGATGAAGATCATCCGGGCCTGCTGACGTAAACACATCTAGCTCTTCCAAGTATCTCTTCACTAAGTCTGTGCTAACAGTTGGTGAGCTGGTTCCCCCTTTTTGCCTATCTGTGATCCAACTGGGAGAATTGTCCTGATCTGAGTTCAGGAATACAGAGGCAAAGAACTCATCGAAGAGCTCAGCTTTGTCCCCACTCTCTGTCACTAATTGCTCTTGTTTGTCTTGTAGGGGTCCTATGCTACTCTGTGCCTTCTTTTTGCTCCCTATATGTCTGAAGAAGAACTTTTTGTTGTCTTTAATTTTTGTTGCCAGCCTAAGTTCCATTTCTGCTTTGGCCTTTCTGACTGCTCCCTGTGAGTATGGGCCAAGTAGGTATACTCTGCCTTGGAAGGTATCCCATGCTTTCACAGCCTATATGCCTCTTTTTTTGCCACATTGTTTTCCTGGGTTTCCCTGCTCAGCCAAAAGGGTTTCTTGGCCTCTTTGCCACCTTTCCTGTGCAAGGGGTTTGTCTCCTTCTGTGCCTTTAGGACTGCTCCCTTTAGGAACAGCCACTCTTCTTGGACTCCCATCTCACCAATTCTCCTGTTCTTCAGTGCCTCGCTAACAAATCTCCTGAGCACACTGAAGTTAGCCTTTCCAAAGTCTAGCACTTCTGCCCTACTGGTTATCTTCCCCACCCTATGCCAGATAGTGAATTCAGTCAAGTGATGGTCACTATCCCCTAGGTTACCTCATGTCAGTAGATCCCCCGACAAATCATCCTCTGTAGCCAGGACCAAGTCCAGCAAGGCGTTTACCCTAGTGGGACTGTATACCTCCTGTGTTAGGTGAAGGTCCTGTCTGCAGGTTAAGAACCTGTGTGAACCGTTGGATCTAGCTGGCTGTTCCTCCCAGCAGATGTCCAGATACTTTAGGTCATTCATGACAACCGTGTCCCTTGACTGTATGGCCTCTGAGAGCTGTTTGTAGAATTCCATGTCCAACTCCTCCTCCTGATATGGCGGCCTGTAGTAGACCTCCACTACCAAGTCCCTTTCCCCCCAACCGCCTTGCATTCTGACCCACAATACCTCAATTTGCCCCTCCTCTGATCCCATCTTGATTATGGAAGATGTATATTGCTCCTTCACGTAGAGAACCACACCCTCCCCCTTTTCTCCTTACTCTAGCTCATCTGTACAGCCTGTAGCCCTCAATGTTTACTCCCCAGTCATGGGTAGGGTCCCACCAAGTTTCAGTTAGCCCAACTAGATCCAAGTGTTTGTTTGCAGCCAGTAGTGTGAGTTCCTCTTGCTTGTCCCCCATGCTCCTATCATTAGTATAGAGACATTTGAGCCCCACAATGGGTGCCCTTGGTGCCCCCCTGTCCTGATGCCACTGGGCCCCTTAATACTTACGCGTGAGCTGTTACAGTGCATGGCTTATGGTTTGTTGATCCTAGGTTCTCGCTATTGTCTGCATCCCCGTCCCCTGACAAACCTAATGTAAAGCCCTGAAGAGGAGATCAGTCAACCTGTAAGAGAACAGACTCTTACCTTTTGAAGATAGATGAAGACCACCCCATCCCAGGGTGCTCTTTTTGTGGAAAAGTGAGAAGAAGCCAAAACCTGCTTGAGGACACCAACTCTGGAGCCATACAGAACATAGATAGAACATCCGTAAACATCCATATTGTTATTTACCTGAATCCAAAATGACTTCAAATACAGCCTCCTCCGTAATTAGATTCCATACATGGACAATTTTCTAATTATTGTGGGGCTGTCTTAAATTGATCCTTCTGCCACTGCAGCAGGGAAAGCAGTGTGGGGTAGACACCTTGCCCCACAGGACTTGTGCTCCCCTGTTACCTGCCCTGCTCCCCTCCCTACTCCCTCTATTCACCCTGTGTGGTGGCTCCAGCTCTGGCCCAGGGCATGATGGAGCATGTGGTGGCTCTGGCTCTGGCCAGGTGGCAGCAGTGGTGGCAGTTCTAGTCCCCGTTCCAGCTTCCCTGCCGCTACACTATCTTCCCTGTGCTCCACCACACATGAACCATACAATCTCTTCCATGCTCCCCCGCTTCCCTCACCACACAATCTCCTGCACTTCCCCATCCTCATCACACAACCTCCCCTGAGCCAGGGCTGGGATTTGGGCTGGGGCCAGAGCTGGAGCCACAGCAGCCATCTGTCCTTGGCTGTACTTTAATTCTACACAAGGTTTCTTTTCCCCAGAGTGAATGGGGAAAAAACCCTTGTCTTGGATTTAAGTAAATATGGTATGTGGGACCCAGTCAGATATTCTGGGCCAACTTTCAGCTTGCCTCAAATCAGCCTCTGATTTTGTGCTCGTTTTAGAAACCAAATCAAAGAAGCACCTGCTTGTATTTGTATCCACAACCTGAACTTGCACTTATGTTTGTTGTGCACACTGTAAGTGCTTGCTTATGTGTGCAAATGATGCTTGTATCAGACACTGTGGATGAAAATTTGTCCCTTCATATGTTTATATATCCCTTCATGTGCTTATTATCAAACAGGTAAATGCCATACATCTTACTTCATCCTTTCCTTATAGTCTCATCTGGGGTTGATTAGTGCAAAGTTCAATTTCCCTTAAGATCCCCGAGGTGAAAATCTCTCCATACAGTCTGAAAAGAGTCAGTTCAACAGGAGACTTTCAAAGGCACAAATGCCTGACCACTTTTAAAGGGAGCTGGAATGGTGTCTGCTTGTTGTGTCTTTGAAAATCTCTGGTAAATGAATAGTCCATTTTTAGTTTGAGAGGTGAAGGTTGTTGGTGTCTTTTTAAGTTATGTAAGAAAAGGTACTGTGCTATTTGGAGTAAAGCATGGTGTTTGAAAGGAATACAAAGCACTTGTGGTTTACTTATGCATCTTTTCCCTCCTCTCTGTCCCTGAATTAGATAAAAGACCAGATGAGCCTGCTGGAGAAAGGTGTCACCCACCTGGGTGTTGGGACACCTGCGAGGATCAAAGCGCTAGTAGAGCAAGGTGGGAGATTTCTATTGTGACTTAAGCCTGTAAATCTGGTGACCAGCCTGTGGCATTTTTTTTATTTCTGCTGTCACAAATGTTGGTCAAAATTAGATCAAAAATCTAAGATTTAAAAATGCCCTGATTTAGTCAAAAAGAACTAATGACAGAAGGCACCATAGCATGCAGTCTTAAGGGGAACCCAAATCCAGAACCTTTTGCCATATAATTTGCTTCTTAAGTAGGAACTTATAAAAACAATATGTGGTGAAAATACCTACCTTATCACGATGGATCCTTTTTCCAGGCAGTTCAAACAAGCCATACCCTGCTCTATGTGATGCCTCTGAAGGGAGGGAGTTGGCTGTGGTGTAAGCCTCCATCATCTCTTCCTCCAGGAAGCACAGGAATGGTGGTTTATTTAGGCTGTCTTTTCTGGCAGAGTTCAGATATCACAACTCAGCATCACAGTGAAGAGCTGGTGTTGTTAAATTACCAATATGACTGCATCAAAAGGAAATGTAGTTGGATAAGGAGGGGCAGAGCTTGACCATGCCACATTCCGCACATTTGAGCTGTTTGAGTTTGGTGTTGAAATGGCTGATCTCTGAGGCCCCTTCTACATGCGCAGGTGAAAACGCTATGGGATCTAATGCATAATCTGCACAATCACACCTGCCATGCTACACGTGCATAACAGGAAGCATGATTGTTGGATCGTGAAACCAGATCCCATCATGCCTTATTGCTGGTGCAGGGGGAGCTGATACTCCCTCTGCACTGGCAAGAAACAAGTTCCCATGGCTGGGAGCCCCCTCAGCTGAGGGGGATCCCAGCTGCAGGGGTGCCCTATGGAGCCCATGGCTGAGAGACCACAGCTGCTGTGATCTCCCAGCTATGGGGTGCACCACAAGCCCTGTGACTGGAAGACTGCAGTTGGTGTGATCTCACAGCCTTGGAGGTGCCCCATGCACCCTGCAGCTAGGAGATCTCAGCAGTTGCGGTCTCCCAGCCAGGGGGACACAGGTTACATGTGCAAGTTGAAGCTGGATAGAAATCCTCTCTGAAGTTAGTACATGTTTTCCAGCAATAATTAAATAGCTGGTTGGACCTTTTTAAAGTGCCATAGTTAATTTGCACATGTAGCCAGTTTAAATTAATTGTCCAATTAACCAGGTAATTGTATAATAGATGTAACATGTAGAGGGGACCCAGAATAACAGAAAACTGGTATAAAAATGGTGGCGTTACCCAGTAGGCATGTAGGTTTCCACTGATGGGATCTTTCAAGCCTGGGTTCTTGTAACTTACCAGCTCATCCTCAGCCATAGAAATCCAGTTTCTTTGGTTTTAGGAAAAGGAAGCTTGGGGAATTATTTGCAGGAAGACTATTAGCTGTTGATATGTCTAGTAAGAGTAGTTGCTCTCCTTTTGTGTTTAGCTTCCAGAAAGGCCTGGTATTATGCAGTAAAGAATGCAGTATCATTGCATTCATTTTCTAACTGGCAAACAAAGTATTTTATTTTCAACCATGAGTTGCCTTGGGAGCAGACAACAAAAAATATAAAAGCCCAAAATAATTTCGATAAGCATGTGTCACACTACTTTTATAGTCAAACTTGCACTGTCTTTTTCAGATGGCCTTAGCTTGAACTCCTTGAAATACCTGATTTTGGATTGGAACTGGAGAGATCAGAAGTTAAGGAGAATGATTGATATCCCTGAGGTACAGTATTGTCAACCTCTCTTTTAAGATATTTTAAATATATTTGCCTTCCAGTTCAGACATGCTTAACCCATAGATGCTGGGAAGTCAGTAGGTTTTTTTATATAAAAGCTGACTTTTGGTAGTTAGTATTCTAGTAACAATGAAGTTAATATTTTATTTAAAATTTTACATCCTCAGCTTTCCAACCTGGAAGTGGGGAGGTTTATGCCCTCATATTTTATAAGCTGCATCAATTAATACCAGTTATCACCAGCACACTTATCAGTCTTTCCCACAGAGGTATCTGCGAGCTAGATGTTCTTCCTTGCGGAGAGATTCCCTCAACAACCAGGCCCGATAGGCGTTTCTGCAAAAACTGAAAAAAAGAGAAAAAATATAGACAAACTTTTGAGGATGCAAAGAGAGCAGCTTTACTTATTGAGGCAGAAAGGCTCCCCCTTGTGATGAATGTGAAAATGATACAAAGTTCTTGCACTGAAACTTCAAGGCATGTGAACCTCTTTGAATAATGACGAACTTAGAGTGGCTCACAGAAATGATATCAAAGGTGACTGGCACAAATCTTACTATTACAAAGAGTGCCATTCATTGTGGAATGAAAAAGGATTTAGGTTTCTGTGAGTCACCTGAAATACATGCAGAGTAGGAATATCTACACATTCATTAATGTGCAGTAGTTACTGCACATTTTGTTTAGTACTTTCTTAATGAAGTACTAACTCAGTGCGTAGTAACTACAGTTACTGCACAGTAGAGCCAGGCATACAGGGGTGTTTTTTGTGACGCTTACTGCGCAGTAGCCTAATACTGCTGTGTGGTAGCATATTGGTACAGTTTTTGCCTGGCACGCTACTGCGCAGTGTTATAGGCTACTGTGCATTAAGCATCTTGTGTAGAGGTGCCCACAGTAAACTGCAGATTCTACATGATTTGCTTACAAGAGCGCAGGATTGCACTGCTGAGAGATGAACCTGAAGACTTGACTCTCAGGTCTCTAAGAAAACCCTTCAGGTTTCACTGACCTCTTGCCTTGCAGGTAGTATGCCCAACTAACTGATTACCTATAGCGAGTAGCCCTGTATCAGGGATATTGTCGTCAAGCCAAAATTGTAAATCTGACTGGATTTAGATAGGAAATTGAAGTTACAGAGTTAGTCTCAGGAGTCATTCAACTTAAGGAGGAATATTTGACCAGAGTTTTACCCCATTTCTGTATGTAGGCATTACAGAAGAGCCTTCAGTTACAAAGTGCTTTTGTACAACAGCACTACGTAAGACTCTGTTGCTCAGCAACGTTAGCCATATATGTGACACATCTTGCAGTACTTTGTACTGCTTCGGGCACCAGTGTCTCTTATAATCATTTACTTGGAAAGCATGTAATAAACTGTGTGTAGATAGTGTACTAGAAAGTGCCATAATACAGTAATAGAGATACTTATCAAGTGTCCTAGCAGAAAAAAGGCATTACATGTGGAGTAGATTCCGGCTGAACCAGGGCCTTGTTCTCCTTTTTGTGTGTTGTGTGTACAATGACAACCTTATTATAAACTGCAATAAATAGTTAGCTGTGGGGAAGAGGGGGTTGCTTTTCAGAAATGGCTTCGTATTTTTATGTACAATTGTAGACCTGAAGTGAAATGATGATAGACATTACTGCTAGCAACGTAATTTGCAACTTTGCTTAGATTGATGTACTATGTGTTTGTGTGTGAAATTGTGTTCTTACAACTGAAGGTTTTTTTACAATATGACCCCTTGCCTTTCCAGTAACTCCATTCCTGTTTAACGGTCCTCCATTACTCTGTCTTCCCATTCTGTTTAATTAAATTCATAGGAAGCATAAAGTTCTAGAAATGAATATGCGTGTGCATGTCTTTGTAAACTCAAGTATGTTTTTATGTCAGCATATGTTAAAATTCATGTCCTGATTTTAACAGGTGCAAAGCACCCAACATGCTTGCTATGTTCACACTTCCCTAATTCCCAGAAGTGAGGGAGGGAGTGGGTTAGAGCAGACAAGAAGGAAATAGGTAAGAATAACTTTTGGGGGTATAGTACAGGAGAGACCTGTTATCAGCATAGAGGTCTTATGTTTCTGTGTGTGGTGGTGTTGCATGGATTTCTGATAAATACGTGGACTTAAAACCAAGCCTCTCCTCCTCCCCTTCAGTGGTAATCTTTCCCATTACTTCTGGATGGTTAGAGTCTTGTGACACAGGGCACTTGCAAGTCAGGCATTTTTCCATCTTTGTTAACATTCAGTGACCAAGTACATAACCTCAACATCACGTTAATGAAAACTATTGTGTGCTCTTTTGATTTCTTGTCCTTTCCTGTACACACCCCAAACAGGAGAGGGAAACCACAAGAGGAGTTAGAATAATCAGGCTAAGAGGAACTTACCAGATTCCTTTTGGAGGAACATGTTAACTCTACTGACGTATAAAGATTTCAGTGCAGTCTGTTTATACATTTCAAATATGTCAGTAGAAAAAGATTTCTGCACTAAAAACATTTGTGCTTAGACACTGATTCCAGCCTGTGGTAGTATCATAGCCTCTGAAGCTGCAAAAGTTACTAGTGTTGCAAGCACTACATTACTTATTTTTCCCAGCACATTTGCAACCCTATTCTTTGGTTTTTTTGTAAACAGTTCTGGAAATGGCCAATGGCAAATTCAGTGATGTGCTTTTTTTTTCAGATTAAGAGAATTACCGTATTTACTTGAACTCAAAACAAGATCCCCATTCAGCCTCTTCCCCTCCCCAACACCCCCCCCAGTCAGCAGGGGAGGAAAAAGCCCCTTGTCTTATATTCATGTACAAAGCGTGTGTGGGGGGCGGGGAGGGAGAGGCAGGCAGCTGCTGCATCCCTGACCCCTGGCCCTGAGCCTGGTTTTGGCCAAGTCAGTCTCCTGCCCTGCCTCTGTTTGCCCTCTGGAGCTTCTGCCCTCCCCCTTCCTCCTTCCCCTCACTTACTATCAACTGGTTTGGCGTGGGTTCCCTCCCTGGCATGGAGCACATGAAAACTGTGTCCCCTGCCTGGCCAGTCAGCAGCACTGGCACTGCTGCATGGCCCAGCAAGGGGTGAGTTTCCATGTGCCATGCTCTGGGAGGGAACAGGGCCCAGGAAGAGGCTGTGGGGTGGGGTGGGGAAGAGGCTGTGGGGAGCTGTGAGTGGGAGCATGCCAGTAGTATGGTGGGGTGGGGGGGGAGGAGGGCTGTAAGAAGAAGTGGAGAGTGGGGCAGAGAGCAAGGAGAGCCATCTGATCACCCACCAGACACCCTCCCCCCATCCCTCTCCCCACCACTGTTTTCCTTGCTATAGCATCCGGGAGGGATAAATTCAGGGCAACCTTA